TCCCAGCGTTCTGAGAGGTGGAGATGGCGGATCCTTGGAGCTCAGGAGTTACAGACCAGCTTGAGCAAGAATGAGATTCCGTCTATACCAAAAATAGAAAAACCATTTTCTATTTTAGAAAATAAGCATGGTGATGGACGCCTGTAGTCTCAGCTACTCAGGAGGCTGAGGCAGGAGGATCGCTTAAGCCCGAGTTTGAGGTTGTTGTGAGCTCTGACATCACTCACTCTACCCAGGGGCAACAGATTGAGACTGTCTCACAGTGTAACAGGATTAATGCCTGTAATCCTAGCACTCTGGGAAGCCAAGGTGGGTGGATTGCTTGAGCTTAGGAGTTTGAGACCAGCCTGAGCAACAGCGAGACCTCATCTTTTTTTTCTTTTTGTAGAGGCAGCCCTTGGTAGAGTGCTGTGACATCACACAGCTCACAGCAACCTCCAACTCCCGGGCTTAGGCGATTCTCTTGCCTCAGCCTTCTGAGTACCTCAGACTACAGGTGCCCGACACAACACCCTGCTATTTTTTGGTTGCAGTTTAGGCAGGGCCGGGTTTGAACCCGCCACCCTTAGTATATGGGGCCGGCATCCTACCTACTGAGCCACAAACATCGCCCAAGACCTCATCTCCTAAAAAAAAAACAAAGCCGGAGTTGTGGCAGGTGCCTGTAGTCCCAGCTGCTTGGGAGGCCCAGGCAAGAGAATTGCTTTAGCCCAAGACTTTGAGGTTGCTGTGAACTACAATGCCACAGCGCTCTACTGGGGTTGACAAAGTGAGACTTTCTCTCAAAAACAACAAATCACTACTTAAATTATCCTCTCATTCATGCTGAAAGTAGGAGGGAAATGCTCTTGTGAGTTGCTTACTGGATGGTATTGGTGTGTTTGTAAAAAGCTGGATGAGAGCTATATAAATATTTCAAAGGGAAAAGATTAAAAAAATTTCTAGGACTGGAATAGCCTTAAATATTTATTTGCCTTCCATGATCCCCAAAGATAAGGAGGATGTTTGCTTTGGTTTTTAAGAAAGAAAAGGAAAGCTATAGCACGCGGTGGCTCACCCCTGTAATGCCAGCACTCTGAGAGGCCAAGGCGGGAGGATCCCTGGAGTTCAAAAGTTGGAGACCAGCCTGAGCAAGGCTGAGGCCCATCTCTACTAAAAACAGAACGTTGTGGCCAGCGCCTGTAGTCCCAGCTACTTGGGAGTCTGAGGTTGCTATTAGCTAGGCTGATACCACTGCACTCTAGCCACAGAGACAGAGGGAGACTGTCAAAAAAGAGAGGGAGGAAGGAGAAAAGAAAAGAAAAATAAAAGAAAGGGTATAAGACGGGGGTCCTGAGAACTGCTGGCGTCTGACATAGTCACCTATTAGTTTTTCTATCACAATGAACTCATGCAGGCTATTCTTGCCCCTCTTTTCAGAGCAGCGTGGACTCCACACCATGTTTACACTTAACAAAGAGTCCAGCATTCCTATTATAGTCCTGCGTGTAACACAAGTTTTGTTAGGAAATTTCTGGGAGAAACGCCTTTCTGCTTTGCCAAGTAGAAGGCCTGAAGGGAGCACCTGGTGGAAGCGCCTGGCGACGCCACCAAACCACCCGCGTGGCCGCCCAAGTTGTCGCGCATGCTCGCTGCCGCGCCGCCGGGCTACGTGACACGCCGCGTGGAAGTGATGGCGGCTCTGTGCCTGCCTGGCCGAGCGCTCGGAACTCCCGGCTCGGGCCCTCCGGACAGCCCACGAGCACCCTGATTCCCTAGTGAAACAGCTTAGTCGCCGTCTCCTGGACGGAAAGAAGCGAACATTGCCGTAAATAGTGACCCGGGGTCCGCGAGGCCTGGAGAAAGGAGAGCTCAGCCGAGACCACGCTCAGCTCCGCTCACTCTGATTGGCTCTGGTGCCGGGACCGGCTCTTCCCAGGGCCTAAACAGAGCCCCGCGGGGGTGGGGTGGGGGGTGCACTGCCCTCTGCGCGCTCCTATTGGACCAGGGGTGTGGCTTGCTCTATGCCGGTGCTTTCATTGGCGGAGCTCGGCTGTTGAGGGTGGATCCGCGCCGAACTAGGGTAGGACAACAAAGGGCGGCGGACTGCCACAGGCGGTGTCTGCGACCTCCAGTGCTCTGGTCTGGCCCAGGCACCGGCCTTGCGCCCGCCCGCCCGCTCCAGATGAAGTGCGAGCACTGCACGCGCAAGGTGGGCGCAGGGCGCCTACGGGGCGGGCCGGGATGGAAGCCTGCCGCTAGACGTCCTAGCGGCGGGAAGCCCGGGGATCCAGGAGGCGGGGCGGGCCGGGACCGGACGAAGCGAGAAGCCTGGGGCTCCAGGAGGCGGGCCGGGTTCCGGGCGTGGTGGGCTGTGCGGGGAAGCCGAGGGTTCCAGGAGGCTAGCGGGGCCGGCCGCTCCCAGGAGACCGCGGCTCGTGGTGTTCGGTTCGATCTTTAGGTTTCCCAGCCCTTACGGCGCTGGTGCACCTTTTCCTCCGCCCTCAGGATATCTCTGAAAGCGAAGGATTTAGAAATAGAGAAAAACACCTGTGTCCCCACCCAGGGGCACTGTGAACACCATTGTTGACAGGAGCGTGGCTCTAAGCTCCTCTGTGTGGGACAAGAAGGTGGGAGCGCGGATGGGCCGGAGCCCGGGCCCGCTCGGAGCACGCGCGGTGCCCCCGGGAACCTGCCGAGCTGCGGCTTGGTTGCCGGGAACCGCGCGCGTGCGGAACTGTGTGTCGTTTAGTGTATAGTGCGTGTGCTTCTGTTTCCGTAGAAAAAGGGGTTAACCATTGACGTGTGGTTAACAGATTAGACTGTTTAATGGACAGAGTGAGGTCGAAAGTTGTTATTTAATGTTTCCTTGTCTATTTAAGGAATGTATTAAAAAAACAAAAACAGATGACCAAGAGAATGTGTCAGAGGAGGCGCCCAGTCCAATCCCGGAAGACAGAGAGGCAAGTGGACTCCGCTTAGTGCTGGCGCGGAGCAACGCGCGGTTTGTCTATTTTCGTCTTGGGGACTCCTGTCACCCGGCCTGTGGTTGCTCTGAGGAAGGCAGAAGAAACCCAAAGGCCTGAAGCCCGGGCAGGACCGGCCAGTGGCGGCACAGACGTGCTTAGACACTGAGCCAAAGAAGGCTGTATTGGGAGCAAAGAAACAGTGCCGTAATATTTAAAGTTTAAATATTTAGTGGAAAGTTCCATTCTGTGAAATGGAGATTGAAATAAGTAATTTATAAAGTTATCCAAAATTTTATTCTGCTAGGTTTTATTCTAATTTGTTTTTTTATTTTTAAATTCTGTTTGGCTGGTAGTAATGGTTCGTGTTTATTTGATACATATTCCAAGTCTGGCACTGAAGAAAGTGCAGTCTCATTGCATGCTTGGGGTGAGCATTTCAGGTAATCCCTACCATTTTCTCCTTTTTAGCAAGAGGAGAATGTGATGGGGGATAGTTTAAAGTCACTTCTTCCCTTAGAAAGTACTGATACTCTAATATGAAGCCAGTAGACTAATGGACGCCCATACAAGAGAAAAATTCAATTCTCTTTGAGAGGGGAATGGGTGAGCTCCCACCTAATAGGTGCAATGTAAGGGTATATAGTACACCTCCTGGGTATGGGACACAACTACAACAGGGACTTTACCTAACAAATGCAAACATTGTAACCTAATTGTACCCTCATAATAATCTGAAATAATAAAAAGTAAGAAAGTACTGGTACTAATTCTGTACATGGAGAATTACAACATGGGGAAGGAGGCAGGTAATAGATTTTCTCTTTAAGTTTAGTAGTCCTCGTGTGATGTTTAGGTATTTATCTGTTTCCCCTGTGTGCCAGCACTACATCGTGGAGACTATAGGGCTTAGGGAGCAGTGGGGCCTAGACAAGCACTCAGAGAGGCTCGGCGCCTATAGCTCAA